CCTACCCTACCCCTCGTTGTTCGCGTTCCCATGAAGTGGTAGGGGTGTCCCAATTCTCTTAAGCTTGAAGGTGTAGGGCTAAGGGGAAGGCGTAGATAGCCCTTTGAACTGAGATTTTTGCAGGACCAACCTTGAAACCAAGGGGTACGAAAATTTTCCAGAATACACCAGCCATAACGGCAGTATAGCTGAACTCAGAAGTAAAGAGATACACAAATTATCCACAAGCGTATGTTTTAATATATTCATAACTGTGTTTGTGTTTTACCATCATGCTTTTTAAAAATACTTTAAAATAAAAAATAAATTTGGCTATCTATAATCCATATAAATAACTCTTGTACAGCAGTCCCACAACATTCTGACACTCAAATACCCTGTCACTGTCAGAAAAGTCTAGTGGAATGGGCTTTTTACAGTGTCTACTATAATGTTAATGTTGTTTTTTGGTGTGTTTATATAGATCAGGGATCACCAAACTTTTTAGCTCCAAAATCAGACACACCTGAACAAGCTAATCAAGGTCTTACTAGGTATGCTTGAAACATCCAGGCAATTGTTGAGGTAAGTTGGAGCTAAACCCTCCAGGGACACAGGCCCTCCAGGGCCGAGATTGGTGACCCCTAATTTAGATGAATATGGCCACTGTGTAAATGCCCCGTTCTTTCATCCAATAGTCGCTATCTGCAGATGGGTACCCCTACTCTAAGTCTCTGGGTATCACCATAGGATGCCTGATCAACCTACCTTAGTTCACCGTTTATCCTCTTACTTCCCTTCCCCTTCATCCCACTGTTCTCTTACCATCCCTTTCTTCCCTTTCATCCCTACAAGTCTAGCTCAGAGTGTGGCGTGGTCCATACTGGTAAAATATGACATCTTTTTTTTTTTTTATTATAGTAAACAGTTGCAGATTTTATTGGTGCAGAGTGTGTGTATTTTGTAAATGCTGATAACCACATAACTCGATGTACCACAATTCAGTGGTGTTTGTTACTCTGAGATTTTATTATTTTATGTTTTATCATATTTTTTTTTTTTTTTTTTTTACTTTATAAGTTATGAAAATCAAAAATGTATCAATTTAACTTTATAAATACCTTTCTTTCCTTTTACAACACTAGATTATATAAGTGTGTCCTGTTGAGTGATCAGAAGTTCTGCTTCTGCACACTCTTGTGGTCTTGTCACCCACTTGACCGCTTGAATGACGGTGGGTTTCCTGTATTTGGCCTGAGTATTCAAGTGCAAAGACCGCAAGAGTTGGTATTGGGACAGGCTTGAAGCGCTCGTTTTGCATTTAAAAGTCAAAGTCCTCCACCTAGTGGTAAAAAGCAAACATGGTTAAAAAAAAGATGCCTATGGCTATGGGTTAACCACAGATTTTCAATCATCAAAATGCACACACAAAAAAAAAACTTTAATGTTTTTTTCCCATACATTAGAATGAAAGGGAGTGAGGAGGCAGGCATATTAAAAACAAAAATTATTTGATGACATTAAATAAATGTTATGAATAATTGTGCAGCCCCAAAATACTATTTAATGATCCGATTATAATCTTTATATACTGTCATTTAAATCATATATAGGTTTTATTTAAAATGTAATACACTTTTATAACGGTTTACAAATGTTTTAATAAGCACATCAGAACTAAATCTGCATTGAACAATAATAAAACATTATATCATCCTTGTTAGATTGATACGGACACCAAGATGGGATGTCTTGCATAGCTGAATATGAAATTATGATACTCTCTACAGTCAGCTGTTTGGTTATTTTACAAATTATTTTCAGAACCTCAAAATTATCTTTATGCTATGCATTTACCCTAGTTTCGTGTTATGCTGGGTTCAGACTTACAATTTTTTCTTAATGTCATGTCAATTTAAGTCATTGTGCTTAAATAATTCGTTTGTGGAGAGGAAATTACCACATTCATGACTTGAATCTGACCGTTCTCACTAAATGTAGCGTATATATTTTTATTTCTAAATTTTACAACAATAAATGTACATTTTTAAAGAAAATCCTTGTATATCTTTTATTTTTAGAAGAAAAAAAAATTATATAGCTAACTCTTATTATATAGCTAGCACTTTTCTTGCATGTAAGACACTTTCTTGGTGTGGGTCTTTTATAAACTTACATAATCTCTGTGATTTAAGTTATGTAACCCACCTAGTCTTTTTGTTCATATTTTCTTAGTAAAAGTCTTCTTTCTTCACATAACAATATTAAAAGAAGTCATCACTTGGCATCTTTAACAACCGGCATGATGTCAGCAAAACTAGCGACTGACTTTTGGAAAAACAAACAAAGTCTGCCGGAGCAGCATGTTTTTGCTGTCTTGTCATCACAGATGAATACGAACCTTTGCTCTGTTGCATAATTACACCGATACCACGATCTCTCTTTCGGTTTAGCATATTTCAAAGCTGCGTATGAGAGTTTATGTGCCTCCATAATATCACACATATGATGAAAGAGCTCTTACAAAATTTACTGCCCAGAAAACAATTTTGTGTTTAATAGACATCTAAACGTATGCAGCTTGGCTAAAACAAGGCTAAACTTGGGCTGCAGGAGAATATAATATCTAAGAATAGCCCAAAACTAGACTATAGTAGTTAAATATACAGATTATACAGACTTTATACTGTATGTAGTCATTCATTTCTGTTTATCTGATGACTTGTAGTATTGGCTTATTCTTAGACGTCTATTAGATTTTCACTGACAGCTCAAATTTAGCCTCGTTTAAGCCAAGACGATGTTTAAACATTTAGATGTTAAGACTGTGTTTAGACATCTATTAGACATCTTTAAAAAATGCTTGCTGGGCATGTTTTTACTACAAACAAAACCATTGTTTCCCTAACCACAAGCTGGCCAATGGTTTTGCTACACCAATCTTAGTTTATCCATTGCATTAGTGTTAATAAGTTGATCATAGAAATGATTACAAAATGCATCCAAAACATTTGTTATTCCATCCCTGCTGAAAAATCCAGCTTAAACCAGCCTAGGCTGGTTGGCTGGTTTTAGCTGGTTGACCAGCCTGGTTTTATAGGGGTTTTGGCCATTTCCAGGCTGGTTTTCAGCCATTTCCAGCCTAGTCTTAGCTGGTCAGGCTGGAAAATGACCAGCCAAATCCAGCTAAAACCAGCTTGATCAGCCTGGTTAAAGCTGGACATAGCTGGTTTTGGCTGGACTCCCAGCTTGGCTAGGATGGTCAAGCTGGTTTTAGCTGGTCATCTCCCAGCCTGACCAGCTAAGACCAGGCTGGAAATGGCTGGAAACCAGCCTGGAAATGGCCAAAACCCCTCTAAAACCAGCCTGGTCAACCAGCTAAAACCAGCCTAGGCTGGTTTAAGCCGGATTTTTCAGCAGGGATTAAATAAAAAATCTCTTCTACCAGTACTCTTTAAACAGGAATTTGCTAAAAATAAATAAATAAAGTTAACAAACAAATGAAATAAACAAATTTTAAAGTTAAAGTTTTAAAGTTAACAAACAAATGTTCTGGAAAACTGAAAAAATTAAACATGATAGTCTTTTTATGTGAGTTTATAAGTGTATGATAGGATAATATGCTAAAGTCTTGTATCTCATTGTGAGTCACCACAACACCCTAAATCAAAATGACTGTTTAATAAAAAAGGAAAGTAGTGACTCACAAATTTACGTTGACTTTCATGTTGACTTTCATGAATGATATTTCATTAAAGACAATATGAACACAAAATATTTCATGTTTTGTCTGGTCAACTTCATTTAATTTGTTAATACACATCCTTTACTGTCAATCAGACCTTCAACACCTTCCAAAAAAAAAAAAAGTTGGGACAGGAGCAGTTTAGGGCTAGTAATCAGGTAAATTGGTTAAAAATGGCGTGATTTGAAACAGGTGACGTCACCAGGTGATTGTAATTATGATTTGGTACAAAAGCATCATCCAAGAAAGGTCTAGTCCTTTAGGAGCAAAGATGGACTGAGGATCGCCAGTTTGCAAAGAAATAGCTGAGAAAATTATTGAAATGTTTTAAAGCAAAGTTCCTCAAAGAAAGATAGGAAGACATTTGGATATTTCACCTCACAGTGCTTAACATAATTAAAAGATCCAATGAATCTGGAGGACTTACAGTGCGTAAAGGACAAGGGTGCAAGCCGATGCTGAACAACCGTGATCTCAGATCCATCAGGCGGCACTGCATCAAGAATACTCATTCATCTGTAAGTGATATCACCACATGATCTCAGGGCTACATTGGCAAACCTTTGACAAGTACCACAATACGTAGTTACATCCACAAATGCCAGTGAAAACTGTACTGAGCCGAAAGGAAGCCCTATGTTAACAGTGTCCAGAAGCACAGTCGATTTTTCTGGGCTCGGAGGGATCCGGTAATGGATTCAGATTTCTGTCCTCCAATCCGTCCCAGCAGGGATCAACGTTTATCCTTGGACCATCGCACAGTGAGTGTAAACTTGTTCTGTGGTCAGATGAATCAGTATTTCAGGTATTTTTTGGGAGGAATGGACGCTATGTGCTCCAAACCAAAGAAGAAAAGAATAATTCAGACTGTTACCAGCAACAAGTCCAAAAGCCAATGTCTGTGATGGTATGGGGTTGTGTTAGTCCCCTTGGCAAAGGTAACTTGCACTTCTGTGATGGCACAATTAATGCTGAAAAGTACATAGAGATTCTGGAGCACAATATGTTGCCTTCAAGAACACATCTTTTCCAAAGATGCCCATGCAATATTTCAACAAGAGAATGCAAAACCACACTCTGCACACATTTCAAAGTCCTGGCTGCTGAGTAAGAGGATACAGGTACCTGACTGGCCTGTCTGCAGTCCCGACCTGGCTCCAACAGAGAATGTGTGGCACATTTTAAAGCGCAAAATGCGACAACAAAGACCCAGTACTCCCTGACAAAAAGCAAATCCTAAACTGACAATTGAAAGAAAAGTCAAATCAAACGTTCATGCGATTTGAGTGTTTTATCAGGTGTGCACATTAAACAGTGCATTTACAGATGTGAAAAGTATTTATAACAAGCTCACAAAATTACACATTCAGAAGTTCGACAAAACAATTGTGCGTGTGTCTGTGCGTCAGTCACAGGATATTCATTTAAAGTCCTGCTACAGTGATCACCACTTCATTAGTCCAGTGATTAGCCATGTTGCTCTCTCTAAATCGCACACACTTTGTAGCTGAGGGAGGATTGATCCAAATAAACTTTAAAATCAATCTGAAATTACATACATTTGTCCTCATTGGCATCTCGTGCATGCACAATCAAGTTTGAAGGGAATTGCAGTATGTGCTGTCTTTAAAATGGCACACGATGAAATGTCACATCTCCTCGTCCACTTCTTCCTCCTCCTCTGGCAGGATACCAGGACACGGTTCCATGGTCACGGCTACACCCATTCCACTGCGTCCCACGGGCATATCTGTTACAAGCGTCCATACATTACTGGCGGGACAGTAGCACTCCACACTGGACAGGAAACCACCTTGGTTAAATCCACCTGGAATGGACGAATATAAAAAATTTGTTATGTTTCATGGGATGCTTTTTATCCAGTGCAACCTTTTATTTCTGCGCCCCATGATGCTTTGCGTGAGTTGTGGGATTGTCTAACATTAAATGTAAACAATAAGTGTTTCTTTATTCTTGTGGCGGTATTCTCCTCACAATTCATTCATTCCATTTTAAATGGCAGCTTATTAGAATTATCAAATCATTCTCAGCAGAAATAACCAGCAAATAACCATAGAAATACTTGTTGCTGCTGTATTATGGATAATGTGTTGAATATTACTGTGCTATGGGAATACAAAAAGTTATATGGAGGAACACAAGTCAAAAAGGGACTTGGCCACAGATATGGTTGTGATATGACATGTTAAAATATTAAGCAGAAAAAAAATTGTTTAATGACAGATAACAATGTAAACCACCAGTCCAACTGCACCCAACCAGGTCTGACCTGGGATCGAACTAGCGATTCTGTGCATCGGAGTCGGTTGCTCTTTTCAGAGGGCTAAAAACCATGGCCTCTCGCGTCTGTCGCTACAGCACCTTTTGAGGTCAGAGGAGTGAAGTTTTACCTGCATAGCACTTCGCTAGCTGGCCTCGATTACACTCACCCCCTAAACCTCACTCCCAGACGAGCCCCCACAAGTAACCCACCGGTCCTACTGCACCCAAGCTGGTCTGAGCTGGGATTGAAGCTTACTTGATTTTTTATATTTTATTGAAACCTAACTATTAAAATTAAATTTGCACATAAATGTAACTTAATTTTTCAGTTTTGTGTGTGTGCAGTACCGATCTGCACTATACTCGCACTACACAAGGTGCACAGGGCCCTGTAAAGTATGCAAGGCCGGTTGCCACCACCACAATATTGGTACACATGGTTCAATTAACTTTTGTTTCGAGGCCCAGAGAAATAAGACTCATCATTTTGTTATAAACTTGTATTTTGTATTAAAGCCAATTAAGCTTTTTCTTGTCTAAATTACAAACTTTAAGTACTTTAAGAGTAGACTGCTTATACAAAATAGTGCATAAGGCTGACAATTTGGTAAAAATGATAAAAAATGACAGGTAGCCAATTGGGGGTGAAAAAAATCTTAAAGGGGCTAATTATATTGACAGCATCATTTTTTGACAAAATATATATTCAAGCCATCTATTCATTCATTTTCCTTTGGTTAGGTGATTTATCAACAAGAGAATGAAAAAACACATTCTGTACACATTACAAAGCCCTGGCTGCGGAGGAAGAAGATACAGGTACTTGACGGGCCTGTCTGCAGTCCCAACCTGTCTCCAATAGAGGATTTGTGGCACATTTTAAAGCGCAACATGCAACAACAAAGACCTCGACAATAAAAACCTCTCATTTATCAGAGGTCGCCACAGTGGAATGAACCGTTAACTATTCTGGCATATGTTTTACACAGCGGACGCCCAGTACTGGAAAACACCCATACACTCTCGCATTCACACACATTCATACACAATGATCAATTTAGTTTATTCAATTCACCTATATCACCTATGTCTTTGGACTTGTAGGGGAAACCGAAGCACCCAGAGGAAACCCACGCAAACATGGGGAGAACATGCAAACTCCACAAAGAAATGCCAACTGGCCCAGCCAGGACTTGAACCAGCAACTTTCTTGCTGAGAGGTAACAGTTCTAATCACTGAGCCACTGTGTCCCCTATTTAAGGAATTTAGGATAATAATAGAAAATAATATGAAAAATGTCCTTGCTCTGTTAAACATCACAGTATTTGAAAATAGGAGGGCTAATAATTTCGTTCATAACTGTACCTCTTACTCCATTTTTCATTCTGTATATGGATTATTTTTTAACGCAACCTTATTATTAATATAATTTGTTTACATTCTTTATAATGGAAGTTCTCCAAATTGGAAGTGCAACCCGTAGTTTGAAATGCAGTCGTCGCGTGTGGAAAAAGACAGATATGTTTTATCAGTTTATGTTTTCTCTTTTACCCATCCAGCTCACCTAACACAAAAATCTTGCACTGGTAGACTGAGACTCCATGTGCACTGCGGCAGTGGTTCATCGAAGCCATGGGTTCCCACACATCTCGAGTGATGTTATATCTCTCCATGGTTTTGAGTTGGGTTTGTCCATCATAGCCTCCAACTGCATAGAGGTAGTTATCCATACACACCACCCCTACGAACAGAACAAAAGACCGTTTCATTAATAAACAAATGGTTACACTCTATTTTACAGTATGTATATACAGCTGGAAAAAATAAGTATTGAACACGTCATGTTATTTCCTGGGAATAATATCTCTAAAGGAGCTGTTGATATGGAATTGAACCAGACTTTGGTAAAAACCCTAACAATACAAATATGAAAATAAAGAAAAAATACGTTCTGTGTAAAAACAATGAAATGACACACAAAGAAAGCGCTGAACTACTGAAACCTATTTAATACTTTATATAAAAGGCTCTTTTTGGTGATGGCAGCTTAAAGACGCCTCTCATATAGAGACTGAAGTTGCATGCATTCCTCAGGTGTGATATTTTTCACAGACTTCAACAGAATGTAAAAATCTTGATGGTTCTGTGGGTCTCGTCACTCAGATCTGATCTTTAATTTGTATTCTCTATTGGATTCGGCACAGGTGATTGGCTGGGCCATTCTAAAGCTTGATTTTCTTTCTCTGAATGCAGTTTCTTTGGCTGTGTTTTGGATCATTGTCTTGCTGAAATGTCCACTCTGGTTTCATCTACATCATCTTTAAAATGTAGATATTGAACTGAAGCAGCTGATATTATTTACCATAACGAAAGGCAGAGGGTTGCTGAGGAACTACTGAGAAATTTCAGCTGCTGTCTGGGCATTTACTGTTATTCTACACCTCCCTTTCTTCATGTGTTCAATACTTTTCCCCTGCGTCAATTCACTTTATAACACATAACTTAAATTGTAAACTAATTGATTTTGTTTTCTTTGCATATATAGTTTTCTACATCCGGAGAATATATTTCAAGTCAACGGCACCTTTAGAAATATGTTTTCCGGGTAAAATGGTGACGTGTTGAATACTTATTTTCCTCACTGTATATACTTATCTAAGAATGTACTGGATTATATAAGATAACTACATGAGTTACATTTATGACAGTTTATGTATGGACTCGAACAGGCACATAGTACAGTATATACACATGAAACTGGCAGTAAAGTCTGTGTAGTCAAGCATATTTTGACACCTATGCAGAGTTTTAAATGTTTATGGTTGTGTGTAAATGTTTCAGTGATTTTTATTTTTATATTGTTTAACCTGTTTGATTGAAAGCACTTTGGTCATTGGGCAAAAGATAATGTTTAACATGTGCTATTGAACTAAGAAAGATACAGTTTAGCTTCCTTAATGTACAGTGAAAGTGAATGAAGACCAAGTCTGTCAAGAATTCTGAAGTAGTGTTTAAATTGTATAAAGAACATAAAGTTGTTATATGGCTTTAAAACTTTTAATATACAATTATGTGTGATACTTTTTTCTCTCTCTATCTAGTTTATCCCACTCTAGTTCTCATCATTGTTCACTGGGTGGAGAAAGCAGCATGAACATTCTTTAAAACTTTACCTTTTTTATTGTAAAAACAAAAACGTGCTGGTTTGAAACATTTATTTGGAACAGAATTCTCAATACTCAATACTCTTTTGAGCTGGATTGCTCAACTGCCAAATCATGCGTGTCTATATGTTAACTGCACAGGTTTTGTAAGTTTTCAACTTTTCTGTTATGAATTATTAAGTGACCGTCCAACTCTGTCTGCAATTGTGTTCTGTATAGCTGCAGGGTAAAGCAGCTCTGGAATGTACGGAAGTATGAATTCCTAGAAGTGTTTCTTGAAGCCCAGTCACCTTCATGTTTTTTTTTTTAAACAGGTTTACGTGTTTTATTTTTTAACTTATGAACAAAACGTTGCATTATTTATTTACTTAGAGAGGTTATAGATAGTTTATGCGCACACTTTTAATCTAAGCTACAAAGTGTGATTAATCTTTAGTGGTTTAAAACAAAGTCTAGACAAGGATGATTTTCAATCCTGGTTCTGCTTTACATGTGTTATGTGTCCCTTGTCTAACACAAATGATTCAGATCATTAGGTAGGAGCAATATGAATTGATCTAGTGTCAAGTAGGCATTAAAATACTGACAAAGTTTGAAGCAGTTTTTAAGGGTTTGTTTTGAAGACTGTAGAGTCATATATTCAATAGACGGATTTAAAAAAAAAGATTGGATGGATGAAAGGATGGATTACAAGTACTACATGGATATATAGATGAATGAATGAAAGAATGGAAGAATTACAAGTACTAGATGGATGGTTGGATAGATGGAAGGATGGATGGAACAATAGATTAATGGAACAATAGATTACAAGTACTAGATGGATGGCTGCATGGAGGATGGATGGATCGATGGATTAGAAGTACTTTATGGATAGATAAATGACAAGTACCAGATAGATGGATAGATGTAGTAAAAAATATTGGTTAAGATGGAAGATAACTACAAGCGTTGGATGGATGGATGGAGGGAGGGATGGATGGATTAAAAGTACTGAAGGAATGGATGGAAAATTAGAATTTTTTGTGGATTGATTGATCGATTGATTGAATAGAATTATTGGATGCATGGATGTATGAATATTAAGAATCATTTAATACATAATTAGAAGTATTTGATGAATGGATGGATGGATTAGAAGGATTGAATGGATGGATGGATGGATGGATGGATGAATGGATGTATGAATGTAAGGATTGATGGATTAGAATTACTGAATAGTAGATGGATAATTAGAAGTATTTAGTGGATAGATTGATGGATTAAAAGTATTGGATGGATGGATTAGAAGTATTGGATGGATGGATTGATGTATGGATGGATAGTAAGAAGTATTTGGTGGATGGATTGATGGATTAAAAGTATTAGATGGATGGATGGATGGATGAAAGTAAGAATTGATGGATTAGAAGTACTGAATGGTGGATGGATTATTAGAAGTATTTGGTGGATGGGTTGATGAATTAGAAGTATTGGATAGATGGATGGATAAATGAATGGATATTAATAATTTAATATACAATTAAAAGTATTTGATGAATGGATGGATGAATGAATTGCAACTACTAGATGAATGGATGAATTACAAGTACTAGATGGATGAATGGATGGATGGATGGATAAATTACAAGTACTAGATAAATCGATGGATGGAGTAGAAGATGGATAATTATAATCATTGAAGGAATAGATAGATGGATAGATGGATGGATGGATGGATGGATGGATGGATGGATGGACTCAAAGTACTGAATGGTGAATGATAATTAGAAGTATTTGGTGGACGGATTGATGGATTAGAAGTATTTCATTTATAATTCGAAGTATTTGATAGATGAATGGATTAGAAGTATTGGATGGATGTAGGGGCTGACAGGCCACAGGGGCCTGACAATCAATCTAGCATGTTACCGTGACTTAGAAGTACTGAATGGATGCATAGATAAGTAGAAGTATTTGGTGAATGGATTGATGAATTAAAAGTATTTGATGAATATAAAAAATTATTTAATGGATGAATAGATAATTAAAAGTACTTGATGGATGGATGAAAAGATGGATTAGAAGTATTAGATGGATGAATGTAAGCAATAATGGATAAAAAAATAGAATTGAATAGATGTATAGATGGATGGGTGGATGGCTGGATAAATGGATGAATTAAAAGAATTACATGGATTAGAAGTATTAGATGGATGGATGGATGGATGGATGGATGGATGGCTGAAGTAGAAAGTTTGGATGGATGGATGGATGGATTAGAAGTATCGGATGGATGAATAGATCAGAAGTAATGAATTGTTGATGGATGGATCAGAAGTATTAGATGAATCAAAAGTATTGGATAGCTGGATTATAAACATTAGCTAGATCAAACAACAGTATGTTGGCTTGAGATTTATAACTCAACTAATGTTTTGCTGCTGCAGACAGAAACATGCAATAATGCCACTTGATGAATTATGATGTGGTCAATTGTTATTTTCATATTGTTCGCTTTAGTCACTCTTATACAATCCACAATTCAAGTCCAGTGCATGACTGCGGTTAACATGCCAAGTAAAAGAAAACCGTTCCAATTCATTAATCTGACAAATGGTGCGTTTTATTTACCCAGCCCGCTGCGCACTGTGTTCATAGGTGCCACATGCTGCCAGGTGTTGGTGTCTGGTTGGTATCGCTCCACTGTGTTCCACCGGTTGTCCCCGTCAAACCCTCCTACCACATACAGGCAACCTCCACATGCCGCCACACCGGCCCCCAGTCGCGCCACTGACATAGGGGCCACAAACGTCCAGCGGTTTGTTTCTGGGTCATACCTGTAAAAAAAAAAAAAAAAAAAAAAAGCAGGAAACACAAACCAGTTATTATTAATAGATACAGCTTTCCACATGAAACAACGAGGAAGTAAACAAAGAATATTTTAATCTGACTGTTCAACTGTGCTGCTGTCAGCATTTCATGTCATCGCTTCAAGAACTCGATTTCCTTGTTTCTAACAATGATATCCAGGGCCAAATACCAATCATAGCTGTAAGTAATTCCCACGAGCTGTTATATGACCAACAGAATGTCACAATCTAAAAAAAAAACAGCCTTCAGCTAGAAGAGGATGCATTTAACCTGCCAACAATGCAAAATCCTCATTTAAAAGGTTGTGAAGAAGGCTGCTGTTACCGAACCAAGAGTTTCTGTCTGCCAGCACATACTGAGTCTTGAATTTCACACATCTTTGAAACGGCAGACCATCTATCCACATTCATTGTTTGAATTCATGTCAAGCTCCAGTTCCTAAAGAGAACACACACACACGCTTTTTTTCTTTCACTGCATTCCTGAACAGATTAACTTTCCAATTTGCGCTGCTCACTCAGATATAAATGATCCACAATAGGATTCACATGACTCTGTTATGAATATCAACTTAAGATTCTAAGTAAACAACAAACTCAGTAACAAATGAGATGCAAAGCAAAAATAAGAAGTAAAAGAAAGACTTAATGAGGTTAATGGTATATTCTGACAGAGCCATTAATAATATTAATAATAATTCCTTACATTTATGCACACAAGCTACTGTTTAAAATTTTGAGGTCTAGGATTTTAATTAAAAATTACCCCTTTTAATCAGCAAGGATGTTAAAAATAAGAGTTCCAATAAAAAATTTGAAAAAAATATTGTTGTATCTTATCACTGACAAGAAATGGTAATATAGTTTACAGAATTCACTGTAAAAAGCGAACTTTAATTTAAATTTACTTTAAAAAGTAAAGAAACCTGTTGCCTTAAAAGCGTCAAGTTGACTTTCCTTAAGAAAATAAGTTTCTTGAAACATTTTAAGTTGACTTAATATAATTATGTGCATAGTTTATTTACTTAATTACTTTAAGGCAACTAGTTTAGATTTTTTTTTTTATAAAGTCAATTGTAACATTGGTATGTTGACAACAGATTTGAGGATCCACGTGCATTTTAATAAATGGGGAAGGGTCAGGCAGGCAATGGTCATATGGGTGCAAACAGTATTATTGGGGTAATCTAGAAGGGTAGTCAAAGTCACAGATGAATAGTCAGTACAGGCGGCAAAGAATCAATATCAACAGCAAAACAAGGCAAGGATCAAACACGGAAAAACTTAGACAAGGAAACGCTTTGTGGTGTTGCAGACTAACAAGACTCAGCAATGTGTGTGTGAGAGGTGAATATAAAGTCCAGGTAATCAGTCCATGATGAGTAACCAGCTGTGTGTGTGTGTAATCAGGGGAATCAGGAACTGGTGTGTGTGAGGTTCATGATGGTATTTTTTTAGTCCAGTTTAGTGACAGATGTGTAGTTCTCCAGCGATCTGCAAGGATTAGATCGCTGGTGATCGTAACATCAACTAATCACTTTTTACAGTATAAAACAAGAGTCAGACATTCCTCTAACACACCTTTTAATTGTAAATCGTGAGAAACTAACTTTTACTGGCCTCTTTTTTTAAATTTGTGTGTGTGTGTGTGTGTATTTTGTAGTGTAATTTAAGGTCCAATATCTTACTTTTCTATTTAGTTTTAATTTATTTATTCATTTAATTCAATATAATTGTGCATTCTGCACAACACTTTGAAAGAAAAGACATAATCTCCCCTTTTTGTAACTGGTAGCAGTGTAGTTTACAAACTTTACTGCTTTATAAATAAGACTAATTAAAGATAGTTAAAGCGAAGTCAAGCATTTATCCTTTTTAGCAACAGTTTTACTATAGTTAGTTCAGAGTAGACACTTCCTCATACAAATGACTTGACAATATCCCTTTCAAGCAAAAACGAGCAACCACCTACAGCAGTTCTCACAATAGACAATGGAGCACTTCCTATCTCATATATCATGCAGTACTTGACAAACAACAACCTGACCCTTTTTCGTGTTTAGGCTCAATGAAAACAGTCCATGCAAGTTTCTTCCTACCAGATCAGTCGCCATGCTTACGAACTAATATAATAAATACAAAATATTCATAATTATCACACTCTTTATGAAGAAATGTGTTTCTCCTGAAAGGCCAAACCTGACTCTACGCCGAGGAATGTATGTTATGAAACAGATTTGCCTGAAGCTTGTTAGTCAGGATTGATGGCTGTGCTCTGAAAAGAGTGAATCTCTACAAAAACAATGGACGGTCTAAATCAAAACACAGTCTGCAAATGACAAAGTTTTGGAAATGTAGCATGTAGCATGACCTTTCTCCTAATAATTCATTTTTTATCTGTGCGTTCAGTGTGAGTGTTGCACAGGTGTGCAATGTAATACGAACTCGGTCAACCAACTATTGATATGTCACTCTTCACTGTGCTAATATTTTGATTCCACTAACATACTTATAATAGAAAGGAAATGCAATACAATGGGGAAAACCCCAAAACCCTCGACAGCACAAAACCTTTTTCGAGTTGTTTTCTTCCTGCCTCTGCCTTGACCTCACCTCTCAGTGCTGCTGTAATGTGTACAGGACAAGCATGTGAAAGCTTGCATTTAATAGCCTTTCAGGGCAATATAAAATCAGTGTTGTAAATGTAACTTAAATGTGCCATATAATAAAAATCTGTATATACCTAGGCATAGCTGAATAATAAAAGTTCAATTTAGTGGAAATTATATACAGTGAGCCTCAAACACCATTCATTCCTCCTTCTTATGTAAATCCAATGTAATATCCTTGTGAAAAACAGCCAATCGGTACGAAACACTAACTCTAACGATCCACATGAGATTAATATGAACGCCTCAACATTTTCTAATGTGATTTTCAACAGCCTTTATTTTCTCCTTATTTTGAATTAATAAAAGCTTATATAGTACTATGTTGCAACGCAGTGGGTAGCACGTTCGCCTCACAGCAAGAAGGTCGCTGGGTCGCTGGTTCGAGCCTCAGCTCAGTTGGCGTTTCTGTGTGGAGTTTGCATGTTCTCCCTGCGTTCGCGTGGGTTTCCTCCGGGTGCTCCGGTTTCCCCCACAGTCCAAAGACATGCGGTACAGGTGAATTGGGTAGGCTAAATTGTCCGTAGTGTATGAGTGTGTGTGTGTGAATGTTTCCCAGAGATGGGCTGCGGCTGGAAGGGCATCTGCTGCGCAAAAACTTGCTGGATAAGTTGGCGGTTCATTCCGCTGTGGCGACCCCGGATTAATAAAGGGGTCGACAAGCCGACAAGAAAACAAGCAGGCAAGAAAATGAATGAATGAATGAATGAATAGTACTATGTATGAGGAATCTTATTTAAAAAAAAAAAAACAAGCTATAATAATAACTGCATTATAGACCATTTCTATGTGGTGATGTCATTGGTCCATGAATATTTCTTGTTATTAAGCTATTTCATAACTGTAACAAGAGGCAATTCAATCATAACTTAATGTTAAAACAGCTATCGTAACATTATTTATCAATATGTGGCTTTTTGGATTCTCAGAAGCTATAGAAATTAAAAATGTAAAACAGGAAATACGTTGGGACCAATGTTTTTGTTTACATCTCTCAAAATAGTCTATAGAATTCAAGATGAATTATACATTTATTCAGTGCCCCTGAAGAGGCAAAAGACCTGTTTTAATGTTTTAACAATGTTTTATTGTGGTATTTTTGTAACATAATATAGGGCTGCTTGATTATGGGAAAAATATGAATGATCGAATGTACAGAAAATAATGATGCACGTCCAGTGCTGCAAACGTTACATGTGCATAAAATCAGCAGTTCTGTATAAATCAGTTCAGATGCAGAGGAATGGTTAAAATACATTTTTGTTATACAAATATATTTGTAGAATAACTAGATTTTTCAACTAAAGTTAGATTTGTTGAACGAAAACACATGCTTAAGAAACCATGAAATTAGTAGGAAATTACTAGGAAATCACACTTATACACTATGGACAATTTAGCTTTCCCAATTCACCTATACCACATGTCTTTGGACTGTTAAGGGAAAACGGAGCGCCCGGAGGAAACCCACGCGCACACAAAGGGAGAACATGCAAACTCCACACAAAAACATCAACTGACCCAGCCGAGGTTTGAACCAGCGACCTTCTTGCTGTGAGGCGACAGCACCACCTACATTGCCACTGCGTGGCCCTCATTTAAAGAATCCCGTTAATTTAATTTGTATTCTGTATACTTTGAGATTTATAAGAATTTATGCAGTTTTAAGTCAAGTAATTAAATTACTTATGATGCAATTCGAAATGTAATTAGAAGGTAGTTATAATACAATTTGAATTATGTAATTAGTAATACATTACATGTTTGAAGTAACTTACCCGACACTTGTTTTAATCTACATGTGCATAAAATTGAACTTGAGGGGAAAAAACCCAACACAAAATCTTTTTGGATCTGTTTTCTCCTGTCTCAGCCTCACCTCTCGACGCTGTTGTGATGCGTAGAGGCATGTGAACCCCCAACAGCATAAATGCTCCCATCAATGACCCCGACGCCCACTCGGTTTCTGGGTGTGTTGAGCGGAGCCAGCTGGGTCCACTGGTTAGTCATGGGGTTGTAGCAGGACAAAGATCCAGACTCTGTGTTGTTCTGCAGGGAGAGATTGCGTCCGCCGACTGTATAAAGAAGCCCGAACAAAACACACGCCCCAAGCCCGCTACAAGGAGACATCATGCTACCTAGTTTGAGCCAGACGTTCTTGTGCGGGTCGAAGGCCTCCAAGGTGTCCAGAGAGTGTTGCTTGTAACCTCCCGCTATGTAAATGAGCTGCGTCCCACGATGAGGTGTTGGCGGCAGGGGTTTTCGGAGAGCCATTTCATGGAAGATCTTTGATAGGAAGTCTTTGCAGGAGTTGGCCTTGCTGAGGATGGGGCAGGACTGCAGTTGTCTTTTGAGGAAAGTGGGTGGAAGGGCGTAGATGTGGACGGCATTGAGGAGGGCATGGAAGTACTGCGCACGGCTCTCTGCGTCCCAGCGTACCCAGTCTATGCAGGCCTTGTAGACCTCGCTCTCGCAGAGCACCTTCAGACTGTCCTGACTGATCAGCTCAAGCAGCTGGCAATGGGACAAGCTGAAGAACTCTTCTTCTTTGGTTACCTGTGAAACACATACATGGAAGATATTTAGCTAGGACATAGTTAAAAACAATTACATTTTCTTACCATTTATTTTTTTGTATCTGTTAAAAACAAAAGCTGATATTCTAATGAGTATTGAAATCCAGCAGCCACTGCCATCCATATTAGGAATAATATGTACTATTGAGGTCAATGGCTGCTGCTTTCCAACAATTTCAACATGTCTTCCTTTGTGTTCAACAGAAAACTCAAACGGGTTTTGGCAAATGGGCAAGGTGAGTAAATAATGACAGAAATTTCATTTCTATCCCTTTTACATCAACCTGCACGGTTAAGCTCCAACCCTAATCAAACACACTTTCTTATAGAATTCTTGTGATCTTAAAGACACTGATTAGCATGTTCAGGTGTGTTTGACTAGTGTTGGAACAAAACTCTGCAGGGACACCGGCCCTCGAGGATCAAGTTTGCCCATCCCTGGCTTAGTCCCTTTATTAATCTGAGGTCGCCACAGCGGAATGAATCGCCAACTTATCCAGCACATTTTTACGCAGCGGATGCCCTTCCAGCTGCAACCCATCTATAGGAAACATCCATACACACTCATTCACACACACTCATACACTACTGAAAATTTAGCCTACCCAATTCACCTGTACTGCATGTCTTCGGACTGTGGGGGAAACCGGAGCACCTGGAGGAAACCCATGTGAACGCAGGGAGAACACTCAAACTCCACACAGAAATGCCAACTGAGCCGAGGCTCTCGACCCAGCGACCTTCTTGCTGTGAGGCAACAGCACTACCTACTGTGCCACTGCGTCGCCTTACAAGAAGTTATATTATTAAATATCCATTTCAAAAATATAATTTTAAAGTTTTTTACTTTATTTAATATTTCCAGCCAGGTTTTAGTAAATCTGCAATATTGTGAAAAACACTGAACTTTCAGTTCTTAGAAGTCGAAAGGCCTAAATACATGCAGTAGCTGCTGTACGTATAACACAGTTGCGCACGTGCATCTTCCTCAGCTTGTAAACACATAAACAAACATTTGCCAACGGTTCATAAGATCGGCCAGATGAGCGAGTACCGATCGAGTCATTAAATGTGATTATCGGCCGATATCGATCTCCAGCCAATCAATCAGAGCATCTCTAACATTTACCTTTTAAGCCCCTTTTTTTTTACAGTTAAATCACTATCCACTTTTGTATAACAAATCAGAGCAGCGTGCACATTCTGCATAACATCTCTTTGAGCTACCAAACTGCAAAAATAGGTTGAGTGGCATGAGGCTGAACAACTGATGATAAAATTAGGAGTTTTGTGCCATCGATTCCTTTAAACCTTGATCTATTTGACAGCTGGATAATTTATACGAATCGATATCCATCTGCGAGACCAGATCTGTTCCATTGACAAATCAATTAGCTCTGTTCTCTATAGCCTTCATTCATTCGTTGACTGACTGTTACAGGTCAATGGCGCAGTACAGTTACTTAAGAGAGCACAGCAGGTGGCAACTATCGATCGCCGCTAACTGACACTTTAGTGAACACTTTGGTCCCCAGGGCACAAACCTCATTGAAGTGAGTGTTGATATACTCTCTGGTGCGAAGGTGTAGGTCAGTGCAGCCGATCTCCTCAGCGAATCTCGAGATGCCGATGACATTGGATGGCTCCAGGTTCTTCATGAGGAAATCGCAGCAGGCTTTGGCCACTTCTTCCATTTGGTAGCGCATGGCGGTCAAGAGGACGTGAAGAACGCAGGTCTCGCCAACTGTGATGCGCGAGGTGTAGGCAAAGTCAATGAGACGGCTGATGACTTGAGGACAAACGTCTCGAAGGGTGACTTCCGACGCGTGGCACTCCTTGAAGTTGCTGGTGAACATGGCTTTGAAGTAAGGACTGGAGGCGGCCAGAACCAGCTTATGCACCTGGGAATTGTAAACACTTGTGGTTAAAAAAAGAAAAGAAAAAGAAACAGGCAGAAACACACCTGAAACTAAATCATGAAAGTGTCCTGGTAATTACAATTAAATGCTGTAACATGTACTAACATCATTCTGCACTTGTAATGAGGACTATTTATCTTTGTGCTCTGTAATTTGCAGTGCCAGGGACATACCGTAATAAAATAGGTATAACATGCTGAACTATTTAGATTGTCTTATTTTACATTATTGATTAGTTAAAATGTTTTTGGTTGTATTACTATTATTGCTATTGTTTAGATTTACAGTAGGGAAAATAAGTATTGAACACGTCACCATTTTTCTCAAAAAAAACATAATTCTAAAGGCCGTTGACTTGAAACCTTTTCTGGATGTTGGTAACAACCAAAGAAGTCCATAAATGCAAAGAAAACAAAACTAATTTGTTTACAAATAAATTTATGCATAATAAAATAATGCAGGGCGAAAGTATTGAACACATAAAGAGAGGGAGGTGTAATGACAGTGAACGCCCAGACAGCAGCTAAAATCTCTCAGTAATTATTTAACAACCCTCTGCCTTTCGTTATGGTAAATTAATATCAGCTGCTTCAGTCCATTATCTACATTATCAGGATGACGTAGATGAAACCAGAGTGGACATTTCAGCAGGACAAAAATTAACAGGGGGGCTAATATATCAAAGGGGCTAATAATTCTGACTTTAACTCTATATACTATTGCAATATACTGTAAATACTGGACTTTTATAGAACTATGTTAAGCTGCTTTGACACAATCTACATTGTAAAAGCGCTATATAAATAAACATGAATTGAATTGTATATAAGACAATATTGCTGTGTATTTTTAACTAAATAAATATTGCATGAGAAACAATGCAAAAACTTAAACAAGGCCTAGTCCACATTTCAGTAAACCACAAAGCTGTCACCTTATAAATATTTGAAATGAAATATTCCAAAAGCTGTCAGTCTTATATAAATAATTATGAGGCCGTGCCTACTCGCAAGTTAACGTCACAGTCTTATAAATGATTGAGCTGCTGCGCACATAACCGAGAACTGTAGATGGCATGGAAAATGAACTGTCATGTCCAGTAAATCCCAAATAGTCTCCAGAAATGTGTGAAACTATGGAGAGCCTCTCCATTGAATCTGTGTTGAGATCTGACCTTTGCTCAAATGGCAGCTTTGAACATTTTAACAAAACTCGCTGCACTTAAAAATTGACTTACCTTAAAATCCACTATCTTGTCCTTGTATGTGACATGCAGAACCAGATCACACAGCATTTCATGATGACGCAGCTCGTCCATGTTCTGCAGAGCTTTAGACGGATGACTTTCAACCGTGTAATCCAAGTAACCGTGACCCCTCATGGAGGGGACCACGATGGCGGAGAAATCCTCATCTTTGATGGGCCTCTTCTTTCTTGGACATATCATTCTCCAAGAGCTTGATTGTCAATTGTTATGAGTAGAAAATGAATGGCAAATGCAGCAGAACAATGTCTATACCCATCCACGTGCCATGAAGAAATACAGGCACAACTGATTATCGTTTAAGGACAGAGAGCCATGTTTCTTCTGTCTGGTTAGAAGTCCACTATAACAAGATTCTGTCTCCAGCCAGGTTGGCATTGTTGAAATATCCACAGTGTAAAAGGATATTAAAGCGTTGCTTCCTTTAAATCAAACGAAAGCTACTTTTCATCAATTACAGATCCAATTTTATCCTCTTGAGATTGTAAAAGTGAAGTTGTCTTACAAATTATTGTAAGCGCATGCAATAAAAATGCAATATTCTTTTCTTCCAAAAGGTTATTATCCTCTGAGAAGGATGTGCTCTTTTCACCCTAAGAAAAAAAAAACAGAGATACTACATTAAGAAATGTTGAGTTAATCCCACCAGTGCTTTCATTGTTTATTAAATGCATAATTAAATATAGCCAAAATGTTTTATAGAGCCATATATAAATATAAGTATACCCCTCCCATATCTTTCATTCATTCATTTTCTTTTCGGCTTAGTCCCAGCTGCAACGCATCTCTGGGCAACATCCATACACACTCATTTACACTCATACACTATGGACAATTTAGCCTAGCCAATTCACCTATACTTTGGACTGAGGAGAAACTGGAGCACCCGGAAGACAGCCACCCAAACGCAGGGAGATCATGCAAACTCCACACAGAAATGCCAACTGACCCAGCCGAGGCTCGAACCAGCGACCTTCTTGCTGTGAGGTAACAGCACTACCTACTGCGCCACTGCGTCGCCCCAAATCTTTCATTTAAATTAATATTTTCTATAGGATGCGTTAAAATATTATATTTGCGCATATACATTAGATTAATCAGTATTAAAGCCAAATCTGAAGCTTATCTAACAAAATAACTTACAACAACTAGGGATGCTCGGATCGATCGGCCGGACATCGCTATCAGCCAATAAACACATTTTATGACTTGATCAGAACTAGCTTATTTGGGGTGCGTTTCCCAAACAATGACGTAACTCGCGCATGATCTATCATAGTACAATGCATCGTTTGGGAAAAGAATGATGTAGTGATGAGTGTTTCCCAAAACCTGTAGTTTCTCTGTTGCACATCCATTGCTTGAACTACGTTAGCTTTAACAAAATCGCCCATAATGACGCTGTAAACGGGTTGGAGTCACAACTTCTTTAAAGAAAAAACCCATGGTTTTTTATGCAAATTATTGTTTTACAAACATACGCACTTAAAAAAATCCAATATTAGTTTTGTAAAAACATGCACTTGTTTTCCATATTAATTAATATGTAAATTTTAAACACCTATATGTTTCCTTTACAAATATTATTGAGAATAATCCATATAAAATCACTAAGCTAACACGTATTCTAATCTCATATAAATCATATAAATCGTTAATGGTTGTAGGCCTAATTTACAGTTGGCTATTTATTAAGAAATTTAAAATAATAATAATAATAAAAATAATAATAATGTATAGATATTATGTATTTGTTTATTTATTATTATTATTTTTTAAGTCTACTTTTACAATTGACATGCAAACCACTGCAGAAATGTTTTAACCAACAGGCCTATGTCATATACAGTACATTCATTCATTTTATTGTCGACTTAGTCCTTTTATTAATCCGGGGTCGCCACAGCGGAATGAACCGCCAGCTTTTCCAGCAAATTTTTACGCAGCGGATGCCCTTCCAGCTGCAACCCATCACTGGGAAACGTCCACACACACATTCACACTCATACACTCCGGACAATTTAGCCTACCCAATTCACCTGTACCGCATGTCTTTGAACTGTGGGGGAAACCGGAGCACCCAGACGAAACCCACGCGAACGCAGGGAGAACATGCAAACTCCACACAGAAACACCAACTGAGCCGAGGCACGAACCAGCGACCTTCTTGCTGTGAGGCGACAGCACTGCCTACTGTGCCACTGCTTCGTCCCATATACAGTACAGATACTTAATAAATAACCTACTATAAATTAAAAGCATTAACGTATGCTATATATATTTGTTTTCACAAGCTTTGGAGACGTAACAATCTAAATTCCGCTTTTAAATTATAGGTCACCTATAGCTTTTCGTCTTGAGCCATGACTGTGCTCAAAATATCATAAATGTTTTCAAAGTGCACTGCGAAGGGAACACAATCGTCAATATGAAGATCTTTAAAAAAGAACTGTAAAAATACTTTGAAGGCAAATAACACTTAGGAGTGATGACTTTAATGCTTTTTTTAAATCATTAAAGTTTAAATGTTAGAATATTCTAAACGAATAGGGCATAGGGGGGATAACAGGTAATAAAACACAGCCAGGAACTATGCTTCCAACTACAGCAAAGGTGTAGTTGAAAGCATATAAGTTTGCGACGCAGTTTGCGAATATTTGTTGGAACGATGGATTTGGGAAACGCCAAATCAACAAACTATGTTTTTTTAACTACGGAACTTGCAACAATAGTTAGCTAACAATGGTTTTCGGAAACACACCCCTGGCCGATCACATGAACCTATCATAAGTGTTAGTTTACTTATGCATCAAAAATGCAGTCCAAACTTTTTCTTCATTGACGGATGTTGAATAATTCCTACATCATTTGCAATGTTTACAAATTGCATTGTCAGTCATTTGTCTTACAATTTTTTTATCTGTTTAATCTATTATTTTTTGTAAACCTGCTTCAGACCGTGACGTGTCCACACTAAATGGTTATAACAGACTTGTTTAAGGGATTAATATCCTTCATTTATTCTTTTGCGAAAGGAAAAAGCTCCACTTAAGTATCGTACTTAAGGGGAAAATGTGCTCTATGCAATGTTAAAGTTATATAAACCTTGAAGCATGAAAATCGGTACTTGTTACAGTAATTTAACTATTTTTGTTGTTAATTCTTTTTAAAAGTAATTCCTTTATGCTAGATAGACTTTGTGTTTAGTGAGGATATAGTAACTGAATGTTGATTAAACCAGGTTTGAACTAGTTTGATAAATCAGCTAAAAGTACAAGAAACAACAATAAGTTTCCATAACAGATTGTCTCTTGCGTCTATGTATGCCTCCATGGTTCAACTTTTTACAGGTCCGAGATCAGCTCTTAACGCCCCATTCACACGGGGCTTCAGCGTCAACGCTTGACAGAGGGCGTATCTGAAGTTGGGGCTGATGCATTCGTCATAGCAGTGTCAGCCAATGAAATTAGTCAGCGATAGGCCTGAGCTGTATTTACAGCGATCTGATTGGCTGACGCTTCTGTCAAGACTTGAAAAGTTGAGCAAGTCTCAACTTTTGCAGCGAGCAGCGCTTCTGAACCGGCGCCAACGGATCCACAATGCAGTTCGGCAACGCATGACGTCACCCATTCAAAGTGAATTGGAAGCGTTGAAGCTGACGCTCCGTGTGAATGGGGCATTAATAGTTTAGGATCGGACTGACCCAAGAACCATGCCGCCATCCATATCTGGAGTTAGATCCAATCCTTTATTGATGCACACATTTAGAATTGTCTATTTTTATTTTAACCAATGAAAACTGTTTGTCTGGATCCCATCTTTTCCGGACTTGTGTAAAGAGTATAATTGCTGCATTGTTGTACTGTAAGTCAGATCGGCCTAGGAACTCATTGCGAGTGTTGAAGCTGGCTTCTGCTGATGAAACTGCAAACTATCTTCAGTAAACTTTATTTTATTTATTTGAATCTCGGGCTCTTCTTCATCTGACAGACTGGTCATTTTTTGGGTTAAAACTGTAAACAACCCCTACAGTGTGCACAAGAAACTGTCTTTAATTACGATTTATGCTGACAGTGGCAAAGACTTGACTGAATCATGTTTCACTTCCTTATTCCTTCACGGATGTCAAGTAGACTACAAAAAAAAGCACCACTCCCTTATTTACAGACAAAACGTGATTTCCTGTATTCATAATACTTCCAAAACCATGCTTGTGGCACAGCTGGACTATAAAAAGACCTTTGTGCGCACTAACATGATTTTCGAGCGAAGGCTAAAGTCTCTGTTGTCGATTAGTCTTGATGTTGTTGTTCATCAGAAGCTGATTTTTTTTCTTCATGTGTTATGTAACGCAGATCAACTCTGTTGCCTTTATTGCACAACACAGCGTTAAAGACACACATATTTGACTTAAAGCATAGTTTATCACAAGACAGCCCTGCCAGCAATGTTTTTTTTTGGAACTAAGAAAGCTCCTTCAGTCCATCGCTCATAAAGGCCCATTGTGTCATGCTTCCACATGCTAAGCTGGACTTAAAAGAACATTTTAACATGCTGTGCAGTGCACATTAGCACCATGGCTCAAGTGGGATTAACCATTAACACACTGAGTGTCAGGCCATTAAAAGAAAACGACAGAACAGAAAGTGAAAAGCTCTACAATTCTTCTAGTTGGTTCTGCCAAGTGAACTTCTGTCCTTGTTAACTAGTGGAAGACGATGCAATTAATGCAATAGTCATTATTTGCCTACCCTCATGTCATTCGAAACCCGCATGCTGTGTCTGTGGAACACAACAGTTGGTATATTTGAGAAGTCTTTACGTAAGCACTTTCCATATAATGGCTAAGTGCTAATTCAGTGTGAGGAGCTACTCTGATTAAGATGAGCTTGCATAACATGGCCAAAGCTTTTTGATGCTTCGTTTCAGTGCTGCTTTGATTACATACAAAGAAATGTGCTTTTATCTGTTTATCCTATGTTGACACTGCAAGTTTTAGTACTCAAAGAAGATTTATTCGTCTGATTTTACTTGAATTAAACATGAAGGCCACCAAAGTGATTTTTTTTTTTGTTTGTTTATGTGTTAGGTGATGTGCTGTGAAGGTAAGTGAATTATTGGACTGAAGATCAAGGATGAGTATTACAATAATAATAATTAATAATTCCTTACATTTATACAGCATTTTTTGTATGCATTATAAAATATATAAAATACATAAAACCTTTACATTTAGATTGTGTTACATTTTTCACATTGTTCAGCATAATGTGCTTAGAAACTGTCAGAACTTTCGAAAACGATATGCTTGTTTCCATATTTGATATCGCTCTAAAATAATCAGATCTTTTGCGATAAAAAAAAATACAATTTATTAAACAAAATCGCACCCTTTTAAATCCTGATTTTGGTTTAATAGCAATTAATCATGCAGACCCAAGATACACAATGCCAGTTCCATTTGGGGTGGATTGTCCCTTTAACAAATAAAAGTGCTTAGTATTACTCTGGAGATTTCCAGAGAGAGAGAGAGAGCGGGAGGGGAGAGAGCGAAGTTCCACTATGTCACAGTTATACAGCTTAGGTCAGCAAGAGGACAAAACATCTCATTGATAAGTGCACCATGACACATCATCAGTGCCCTGATAAAGAGCCAGTCAGTCTATGAGCAGTCTGGAAGGTGTTCGTGACTACGAGGAAAACTGTGAATCATTAAGATGCATGGCAGGGTGGTGATTGCTGACCAAGGCTGATGGGAAATTCTTTCATCAGATGAAGTACATACAGTGACAATGATTGTAGTTTATTAGCTTACTTGGAAGGAGTCAGAGGCACACACACACATGTACACACTATGAGAATGCACAACAGTGTGATTCACAGTGCTGACTAATAGTTTAATTAGTTGAGGCTCAACAATAGGGATCGTTTAATGGCCCAGGGCCAGTATGACAGCGTTTCGGGACAGATGACAGAACATTCTGTTCAGTTCTGTATTGTCACTGTCCTGGTCCTGGTCACCCTGTCAACGATTATTTTGCAATAACAACCAGCCTTTTTCCCATACATAATTTCTAGCTATTACTGGCAAAGATTAAAATATTTAAGAAGTACCTATGATGAAAATCCTCTTTCTGAAGATGTTTGGACAGAACTGTGTGTAGGTATAGTGTGTCCACCAGCATATTGGGGTGAACTTCCTGACTTTAAAATAGGATCCAAATCCCTCCCATTTTAAGCCCACCGCAACATGAAGTATAAGTGCGGTTTCCCCCCACCGAATCGATTGACAGCTATGTATTAAAGGGTCACAAAACACATTTTTTGAGCTGTTGACAGTCGTATATGTGTCCCACACTGCTAAAAACACTATTAGGACACCTATATTTCACTAAAAAGTGTAAATTGGTTGTTTTTGCGTTATTTCAAGCAAATTCGTACTTCCGGTTTGAAACGAATTTTTGAAGCTGCGTCACGGCCATGACATAATAGCGTTGTATTCCAGCGTGCAGACTGGACGTCTGTGCCAAAGTGTGTCTTATTACATCTTACAGTGTGTTGCATTAATGCATGAGTAAGGCTTATTTCAAACCAATCAGCGCGCTCTATTGTGCAACTTCATTAATATTCATTGCTGTCAGAGTGTAGACGGCAGAGACGCCACGTTGTGTTGGCAAAACAAGCGTGAAGTGTTGCTTTTATTGTTTGCTGCCGTTAAGTTTTGTTTTCATTTTTTCTCTGTGAGAGCGCAGACTCACGTGTGGATTAACAGTGTACGCGACGCGCGACAACAATAACTTACGTGTCTAAGGAGGAACATTGTTTACCTGAGAGCTGTTCTCATCTGCAAACGCTGAGATCTGGATTCGCTTGTAGTCTCCTCTAAATAAAGACGCGGCTCTAGTTGCTGTGGATTGTCCTGTCTCTACAGATTTGGTAAGTGAGCGACCAGTGCTCTTTGTTTATTCAGTTCGTATTTTATTCGTATCAAACAAACTATTGCACCAGTGTAAAAAAGTTAGCACTAACAGTTACAACCAAACTATAACCTCGTGTTGGATTTTGTGACCGGAATAACACACGCGGCTTTCTGACGCTACCTAAGTTTCCGGGAAATGCTGAGGGTTTTTTTCTCTCATTCGCCGTGCGGTATCAAACATTGCATGAAAAATACACGCTTAGAGCAGTTCCTCGAATCAAATATCTCGTTTGTCGGGAGGGACATGAATGAATTCCCTGAATTAAAGAGCCAAACTGCAGTTAAAGTCCACCATTTAATAATTTGGCAATTAATTCGACAACAGATGTCCATGTAAACACAGTCACATTGTCCGCTGTGGTTGTGTGTTTTGACTCTGAAATTCAGCGCGCCCAAATAGACACTCCCACACCAAGCCTCATTTCTTCCTCCGACACTCCCCCCTAAACAGAGCTGGACACGCCCACTTTTCTGACTTTTTCCAAAGTAGAGGTGTGAAAACACCCTGCTGAAACGAGGGGGTTTCATGGCCCTTTAACATGTCTCCTTAGTAACGCGTCTAGTCATATCAACAAGACAGGCTTGAATTAACTCCACAACAAATACATAAAATAATCACTGGGAAAGTTCTAACTGGAATATTTCTCACAAACGTTACGTGAGATCTGCTTCCTCCACGTCTGTCACTGTGCTGTTTCTCTGATGCAGGCGAGGCGGAGATTGAGGCACACTCTGACAGATGTGGGAACGGTGGACGAGGAGAACTAGTATTAAAGTGACAGGCCATAAAAACAGCTACAGTGTGTTCCGAGTAGAAAATCCAATATTCTAAAATGTATAATAAAAAATCTGATGGGTGTTTTGAGATAAAACCTTACAGACACATTTTGAAGACACAAACAACTTATCTTAAATCTTGAAAAAAGGGTAAAATAGGTGCCCTTTAAATAAAAAAATGTAAATGCTGTAAAAATACATTTTTATTTTATTTATTTTATAAAAAGTTTTATTTTAAACTCATAAAATATTGGAAGGCCAAAATCTTAAGTATTTAAAAAAAATTGAATGAAAAACTCAATGATTCCCCTTAGGGTTGCACAATACACAGATTCAGCATTGACAACACAATGTTTGTAATTGCAGTAGTCATTGCAGGCTCAGCAATGTTAAGCTGGGTTGTATGTTTATAATGCAATGAATATTGTGCAGTGTTATTTCACATAACATTTAATTATTTTATTACTGTATCTGAATATCTGACTACTGTTTGACTCTCCAGAGAAGCATAAACCACTGCTTATTACACTTTTATCTTTGTTTTTGTCCATCAACCCTTAATTTTGCCTGCAATTTGTTTAATTCACTCTGCTACAAAAATATTCAAGTCAATCTAAATGAATGATTTCATTCACAATAGAGCTATTCAAGCCAATGGGTTATTTTTGCACACAGACTTTTAAATTCAGTCCACCAGCCCCAGTACTTCTGTTAGACTGTCATCCCATACAAAATTGCCACGTTTAAGTTCTGATTTCTTTAAAAAAAAAATTGCGATCTTCACTGCCTGGCTGAGATACAATATAAAGGAGGTATCAGACCAAACAAATAGCACTGCATTAAATTCTACTTTTCCACACCATGTCTTTAATATATGGAAGTTAATTTTACCTCAGTATTTTCAATGGATTTTTTGCACTAGCCTGCTGCTAACTATGGCGTCTGCGTTTAAATGGTCTTTTGTCAGTTTTTACACTTTAACAAACAAATGGATGCTTAAGTCTAGTTAACTGAATGTATTGCAATTACATTACGACATTGATGCTGTAAAAGGAATCCTATGAAATTGAAAATAGTCACATAAACCTTTCACCGGAAGTTCATCATTGGCTGAAAAACACTGGCTGTGCATTTAGCCCATTGTATTCATATTGCAAGAAAAATAAAATATCGCAATGTCAGATTTTTCCAATATCATGCAGCCCTAATTCCCTTGATTGTCTTGTATTCACTTAAAATACTTACATTTTAAAATTACTCGTTGCTATCTACCGATATAATGGTGTGTGGATGTCTTGACAGCATTACCCTTTACACTGACAAAAAAAATATTTTTTTTAGTAAACTGTATGCAATTGGTGCAGTGAGTAGCACAATCGCCTCACAGCTGGGTCGCTGGTTCGAGCCGCAGCTGGGTCAGCTGGCATTTCTGTGTGGAATTTGCATGTTCTCCCAGTGTTGGTGTGGGTTTCCTCGGGGTGCTCTGGTCTCCGGATAGTGTTGTGCAACATTATATTTAGGATTTCCTCCTACATTTCTTTGTAAGAGGGTCCATACTTTTCACATCTGGTTCTGCAAATAAATCTTTAGCAATATTTTAATTTAGACAGTCATTATGACCCTATCGTTAAAAAAAATAATAATAATAAAAAAACAATCTATTTTAATTAGATTGGTGTGGGATTTATGTCATATTTACCATACTGCAGCCAAACAAAACAATTAATTATCATATTAAGGATGTAGAACTAATTTTACACTCGATCGTGGTCACGTTTTGCATTAAACTATTGTTTCCCAACACAAAAATTCACGTAACATCATGGGAGTTTGAGGTTTTGCATGCAGAAAGTAACGTCAGCGGGTTTTTACGTAATCGTTCTATGTACTTTGTATATCGTTCTGTTTCTCGTGCAGGTGAAAACCCGAGGTGGATTCAGTCATGATAAAGTGCTTAGAAAGGTCGCTCCACTCCACTTAACCGCCGCACCAGTCCTGGATTTAGCCTGTGCGTTGCTTGGTGACACCCAAAGCTTGACAGATTGGTTTGTTTCGGAAATATTTTCGTTGGCTAAGAAGAAAGAAAATATAACCTGTTAAACTTTGAGTGAAACGTAAGTCATTCGATATTTACAGAAAATATGCATAACATTAATCTGAAACTGGCAATCGTGCTGCAGTTGTAACTTAAGTATTAACGTTAGTGAAGTTACATCTATCATATAACTACGGCCTCGTGCATAGGCTAACGTTACTGACAAATCCACACAGTAGCACTGCTCGTTTGATACTGTTTAATTATGCTTAATTATACAGAACTAACTTAGGCTACTCTTAGCACGTTCAAACATTTATCAGAGACTTCAACAACAGTTATTACATCATAACACGCTTGGCTGCTATCGCTGCCCTTCTGATAAGATGGTGTTGATACGAGAAGCAGAAATAAAAATAACCTAGTTAGACCCGAGCCAAGCAAGCGTTTTTAAGTCTGCATCGAAACCGATCTACATCCGCTAAAACACTCACCTTATATCAGGAACCGGTGACAGTACTTCACTTACTTCCACTTACGTCCTGTAAACATAGACTGTTTACACAAAGACTGATCCTGCTCGAATTAATACAAGAATTTGATACTCGAGGAGGGGAATGCCCTCCGCTCGCATTTACAAACTAAACCTTGCTCTTTTTGGCGCGTAAAACCTCAAAGCAAAAAACTAAAAACATAATCGAAAGTTTGTTATGCGCGAAGCTTCTCTGCCTTCCAGCTGTCAACTGACTGTGAAGCAGGCGCGTACTCGCTCTCTCGTGCTCGCGCGCCAGTCGGCAGCTTTCCAAACACACAGAGTGCCATTGACATCAGCATGACTCTGCAACTCCTCTATTCAGCAGAACGCCACTGAGACCTAATACACAGGCTGAATGACAAACCGAAAGCAAAGACCTCGAGTGCTGTCAGTTGATCTCATTTGTCATTTAAATGCACCTATCAGGTAATCCATCTGTGTCATTCATGGTCTGGAAAGTTTGACATCTTTGCCAAAAAGGGAATGAAATGTTTTTTTTATGTAAAAAGCAAACAGACACCCACTGGGGATCCCTCTTCTTAATCCTAGATGATATTTGTGTTTGCAGTGTATTTGTTTGGGCTTGTTGGGATTCTAGTAGTCACTGAGGCTTTAGTGAGTCAGAGTATTGAGTGTGTGTGGCGTTCCACAATAAAGAACAAGATAATCCACATTTCAGCCAGGGAACTTCTCTCATATGCCCACCTCAAAAGGAGCGATTAACAATGTTGACAGAAAGCTGTTCAGTAAAATGCCTCCTTTCAAACTGGAAACTGCTTAACAGAAAGTACCATTAATTTTATTTTTTTTAATCACTGTATGTTGCATTGCAACTTCATACATGTTAGTGTATTAGTGTGTAAAAATGTATACACATCACATCAGGAGTTGTTTTATAGACAGCAGATTTTATGGATCTCTTGCAGATAGCAGATCATTTTACAGCAAGTATTCCTCCAAAGTTTCCGGAAGATCATATTCTTTGTTGGGTTACACCCAAGCCTCTGACCTTAGCAGGATTCGTGAGCTTTGTTTTTCTGATTCATGCCTTGTCATTGTCTTAAGGAAGTCACTGAAGGAAAACAACATTGTTTTCTATGTAAAGTGCACCAAAAGCAGGAGGTGCAAGTGCACATAATATTCCAACAAAGACAGCAAAGTTTACTAAACACACTCTTAAAATTAAAAGTTCTGAAAAACACAATGGCACAGACTAACCATTTTTGATTTCCCAAAGGATCATTAGTTTATAAAACAACTTTTATTTTCTCTTTCAGTGTGTAGATTAACATTCTAAAAATCTATATAACCTTTATAGAATTACTTAAAGAAACTTTTGTGTAATTGAGACGTTCTATGGATGTTAAAGTTTTCATGGGATCCAAAATGTTTAAGTCTTTTTACTTAACTTTTTTACTGCCGCTCTACCAAACGGTTGACCATGTTTTTACTCTTTTATATAATGACTATTAAAGTCATTTAAAGAATGGCTGTTTTAAATAATGGTTTAGACACAGCATTGTTGGTTTAGAAAAAAATCAAACAATTGATTTTGGTTATATTGTAAACACACAAAAAAACAAGAACACGTGATAAATGAGAATCTGAAATATTTTATGGCAAACTTCAAAAAATAAAGATGATTAAGTATTCAAAAATGTTTTATTTTGAATATTCAAAAAAACAAAAACAAATTGGTCCTACACTTCATATTTTCACGTTTTTTTTGTATATGTATTAATTCTGGTACTTTTACCATAAACCAACATATCAACCATTTGGTAGAGGCTGACATTTTAGAAATTATGGTATGTGTTGGGGGAAAAAACTAGCGACTAGTTTGTTAACTAGCGACATTAGGAGTTAAGTTATGCAATACAAAAGTTTTTTTCTTTTTTCTGTGGGGCAGTTAAAGATATAAAGATCCTTTTGTGCAATTGAGAGCTTCAATTCAAAGTAAATGTTCTTTAAGGAACCGTCAATTCAAATAAACAACCTTCAAGATTGCATGAAAATATTTTTTTATTGTGTTAGCATTGATTTTTATCTTATTTCCTTGAAAGTATTTAAAAATTGTATTTTATACAAAATATATTGATGCTATGATGTTATCTATAGTTTAATGCTTTTAATATGTTGCCAAACTTTGTAGGACCGTGTAAAATATCAGTGAAGGAATGGCACATTTGGTGTTAAATGGTGCATACTTTGTGTCTTTTCATATAAATTCAGACATGATGCTTAAAAAAATGTGTACATGTTGCTTTTACAAATATATACAGAATTATTTATATATATAAAATTAAAATATAAAATGTATGTATTTAAAATATGTCTTTGCGTTATGTGTCCTTTTCTGCTACTTTGATTTTAACAAAAGAGATTGTATGTAGTGTTAAAAACTAAAAATGAAAATTGGTTACGCAGTATCTGCATGAACCCTGACAAGAAGATAATGGACTTTGTCCTAAGCTTGTATAATTTGCAAACTGCTTACTTGCAAAGCATGCCAGTCATCAGGTGTGTTCTTTCACGTATACTCACTCAGTGCCAAGAGAACAAAGCAAATGTTAAACAGCACAATGACACAGCAGTTCAGAAAAACATGAGATTGACTGATAAGCCCTCATGCACACCATTTTCCCAAACACCCCCTCCATTTATGGCATTACTTAAAGGGATAGTTCATGCAAAACTGAAATGTGTCATCATTTACTCAGCCTTTACTTGTTTCAAATCTTTATGAGTTTCTCTCTTCTGTTAAACACACAGGACGATATCTATTTTTGGCTTCCATAGAATTTGTTTTTCCTACCATGAAAGTCAATGCTTGTAGGTTTCCAGCTTTCTTCAAAATATTTTCTTTCGTGATTATCTCATAAAGGTTTGGATCCACTTGAGAGACAGTACATAGTGAATACACTTTCATTTTGGGTGAACTATCCCTTTAACACGTTACCATATGAAACCCATTGTGCTTGACTACTTCACAGATTAATTTGTAATATAGACTATATTAAAGCAGTTTTTTCATTTATTTGGTCAAAAACAATATTTAATTGTTTTGAATTTGTTTTTCGTCCAGTTACAGTTAAAATATTTTTACATCTTTTTTATGTGATATCTGAGGCTGATAACTGTAGAGAGTGCACTGAGAGTGTTTCTCATTTTTGTCATTTTTAACCCTGGAAACCTTGTCCAATTGAGGTAAATACATTGTGTTTGTGCTCCCTCTAATGGTTGCCACTGCATAGCACACAACTCAGTTGCTACAGATTTGATACTTTATGTACACACTGTTACTTTGTAGCTGTTGTTGTGCTTTTCAAAAATTTAACCTTTTGAATAGTACAAAACATAATGCTTTAGTTTTGTACTTTTTAAAAGATTAAGTCAGTTGAAAGCTTAACAACAGCTACAAAATAACTGTACAGAAAGCAAATCAGTCTAATCAACTGTGTTACACTCTCAGAAATAAAGATACAAAAGCTTTCACTGTTTCCTCCTCATTTTTTACCATAAATGTACATATTAATATCTAAAAGGTAAAGTATAGTAAGATTTTTAGATACACTCTTAAAATGAGGTTTGCTGCTATTTATTTCTTATGTAAAATGAGCTGAATCGACACAATTCTTGTTTTTTTCTAGACAACTTAGTAGTTTTATGTTCAATCCACTTTGTAAATTAATAACTTAATTCCTTCATGTTATCCCAACACAAATTGATTGTGTGGAATCCAGCATTTTTTACAGTGTACTAATGTGTATTTTTATACTACTATGGACCCTTTGTGTGAAGAAATTTTAAAAGGTGCCGCCCCAGTGACCGATTTTATGTCTGAGACTACATCTGTCAATATTACACATTAACATTTAGGACTGTAATTCATGGATTTGAAGTGAACATCAATGCATTTCCCTACATATTTATGACTTCACCAAAGCCAGGTGCACACTGTACTATTAATAATAGACATATAATAGCTTTTCAGATTGTACAAACATGTTCCCATACAGCTTCAAGCCATGCAACACTGTAGGGATTTCATTACAGAGGAAAAAATGATGGTGATGGTAATTAATGTAGTGATCAGAGTCTACAGATTTTAGCCTAGAATTATAAGAATCAAGTTCCACCCTGGTTGAACTTAGATGTGAATGTTTACCTGTCACCTTAGAGATAGAAGTACATTTAACTTTGTTTTAACTCACAGTCAAGATAATGGTTTACTCTAATTTACATTTTTTAAATATTTTAAATAACTTTAAAATCCAAAACTTGTCACAATCAAAATAAAACTGAATAAATAAGGCAGGCTATCATGTTTTACATACACTACCTGACAAAAGTCTTGTTGCCTATCAAAGTTTTAGGTAAAACAAATAAAAACTTGACTTCTAGTTGATCATTTGATGTCAGTTGTGGCTTCTATGAAAGGCAAAGGTCTCTTACATTTGTTTTACTTGAACAAAATATGATCATGCCTTGATTTTTAATTATTTAATTAGGACAGTAAGGTCTGACTTTGCTTTGACAAAAGTCTTGTCACTTAACAGAAATAATGTACAGTATAGAATATAAAGTCATGGTGCAGTGAGAAAAGAATTAATATTGTGTATGACTCCCACAAGCTTGGAGGACTGCATTCATACATCTCTGCAATGAATTAAATAACTTAATAAATTCATCTGGAATGGCAAAGAAAGCGTTCTTGCAGGACTCCCAGAGTTCATCGAGATTCTTTGGATTCATCTTCAATGCCTCCTCCTTCATCTTACCCCAGACATGCTCCATAATGTTCAATGGTGACTGGGCTGGCCAATCCTGGAGCACCTTGACCTTCTTTGCTTTCAGGAACTTTGATGTGGAGGCTGAAGTATGAGGAGCGCTGTCCTGCAGAGGAATTTGCCCTCTCCTGTGGTTTATAATGTAAGGGGCAGCACAAATGTCTTGATACCTCAGACTGTTGATGTTGTCATCCACTCTGCAAATTTCTTACATGCCCCCATACTGAATGTAACCCCAAACCATGATTTTTTCTTAACCAAACTTGACTGATTTCTGTGAGACTCTTGGGTCCATTTGGTTTCCAGGTCTTCTACAGCAGGGGTTCCCAAACTTTTCAGCCCGCGACCCCCAAAATAACAATGCCAGTGACTCGCGACCCCCAATATCCTCTGAGGTGGTTATAAATACAGAAACCTTGCATACAATGATGCAGACACACCAATTAAA